CGCTTGCCCGGGGCCATGACGGGGACAGCGAAAGCAACATCATCGAAGACAATTGCAAATCCAGCCTCAAACATCAAGTCAAAAAACTTGTAGGGGACTTCTGATAACTCTCCTTGTTCCAATAGGTACACAGCGCACTCGTAATCTCCCTGCTCTGTGTACGGAATGCATCCACGGTCATCGTCGTCATTACTCTCCTGAAAAATGGACATGTCGGGCGAGGGCAGCCCGGGAACAGCTACCAACACCAGACCATGCGGCACTTGAGGAGCAGAAGGAAGCACTACACTCCTGTCAGCGGGGGGGGGGGCATACATTGCCGGAGGAACGACGCTGCTCGCAGCGGGCGGGAGACCGNCCAACTCCATTCCATGCGGCACTTGAGGAGCGGAAGGACACACCACACTCCTGTCAGTGAGGGGGGGGGGCATACATTGCCGGAGGAACGACTCTGCTCGCAGCGGGCGGGAGACCGTACACAATTGATGACACTACGCTGTTTGCAGCGGGCGGGAAATCGGGCACAGTAGAGGGCACTACGCTGTTTGCAGCGGGCGGGAAACCGGGCACAGTAGTGGGCACTACGCTGTGTGCAGCGGGCGGGACACCTGACACTGCGGAAGGAACGTATGCTACACCCGGAGGGGGGGGAAACACCGGTGGGGTTTCTGGCATCAATCTATCATCACTCGCATGTAAACGTACACCAGCAGCGCGGGGAGGGGGCACCGGTGGAAAAAGCATCACAGGCACAGCGGTGGGCGTTTCATAGTTGGGCGACAAGCGTGTGGCCCAAAGCGACGAACCCCTCTCGCCAAGGGGAAAGGTCAACTGGCCATGGAAAAGATGGGTGCCTACGTCGTTCAAGGCAATACGTTGCAATCCCTGTGCTTGGTGGAGGGAGAAAAGATTGAACCCCATTCCTTCTACATGACGTGCTTGTGTAAGCTTCACGCAAAAGTCTCTACCTCCAAGATGAAACCTCACGTTTGAACATCCGATTCCAAGCTTTCGCATTGTCCTGCCATCACCGATCTGCACTCTCTCGCTACCAAGGGGCGGGATGATCACATCGTATATGTTCGTGGGGTCTCCGGTGGTGTGGTTAGCTGCACCGGAGTCTGCAAGCCATTCTTCAACTCCTACACGCTCCGCCCTCACAACCGGTATAGAGTTCATCAAGGCATACCCCTCACCCCCTACGAATCCACTCGAAATCTCACTCTGGTACTCACTTGACATGTCCCTTACAACACACGCATGCAAAGTCCCCCCTGCCGACGAAGGTGCTCCGGTCGAAGGCGCGGGAGAGGCGTAAGGGGCGGGGACTGGCTGCTGCTGTTGGAAGGGGGGGATAGGTACTCCGGCTGCTGCTGTTGGGGTGGGTATTCGTCCACACCGCTCGCGTGCGTCACCGGTTGTTGATAAACACCGGTCACGTGCGTCACTGCATGGCCCCCCGTAGATGGTGCTGCCGTCGTCGCCACCGTCGCTCCTGCTGCTCCTGGCTCTACCCCTTCTCCGCCGTACTGCTGCGCGGTGTTGGCCTGCCTGTACGAGTGGGCTGTAGCCACCGGCCGGCGGCCGGGGCGGTGGGGGCCTAGGCGACGCGTTGGCGGCCGGCATGCCAGCTGGCCTTCCGACATCAACACACGAAGGACAGAACAGATGGTTGTGGCCGAGTTCACCGCAGTTCTCACACCTCTTGCGAGGGTCATTCGGGTGGATAGGAGGTTCACTTCCCTGCGGGCGGTACATGTGGGGGGGTAGGCGCTGTAGTCGTAGCCCCGCTGAGGTACAGGGTAGGCGGGGAGGTTACTGCCCGGCTGTCCTTGGTGAAAAGGGCCCCTGCCCCTCCCACCAGAATCGGCGCCACGCCCCCCTAACCTTCCTCCTGCCGGCTGCTGCTGATGACGTCCTCCTCCAGAAAAACCCCGGCGCCCATGCTGGGGCCCGTGCCTTCCGCCGTGGCTCGCACCTTGGCCGCCCGAGGGACCTCCCCAACCCCGCTTCAAGCGACATTCCTCGTTGCTGTGGGGCGAGGAGTTGTGGAGGTCAAAATATTTTGCCTCAGTCGGGTACGGCAGCGGGTATCCCTGTTGTTGCTGTAAGTACGGCTGATGCTGCTGCTGTGGCTGCTTCGGTTGTTGCTGCTGTTGCCGCGCTGCCGTCCTCCATTGTCCTCTCGTCTTCCCCCTATCCCCCATGTTCCCCCCCCCGCCACCACGGTTATCACCGCCAGTGACGAGGGCATACGCCCCCACGCTCTCCGACGCCCTCTTCCTAGCGGCCTCCGTCTCCGCCCAGGTGGTCAGTATCACCTTCTCTACCAATTCCGTCTTGACCTCCGAATGCGCCAACAACACGCTCCTCTGAACATTGAAATCGGGCATAAGGTTGCGCACATAGTGGACGTTAGCATCATGATCGGATTGCACCCAACCGTACGCTTCTAGTTTCTGGCGAGGTGCTGATGCTCTTGTGAGATAGCGCCGGGGCTCCTCCCCTACTTGCTGCTTCAACGTGTACAATTGCCCCTGCAACTCCAACTTGTCCCTTTCTGCGTACACTCGGTAAAAGTTGAGAAATTGATCCCACGATTCAGTGGGACAACCACTTGCTAGGATTGCAGGGACTATTGTCGGTACTTGTATCTTGGATATAATAAGCTGCCAAGCCTTAACCGCACGATCTACAGCTTCCGTCCCATGTTCCACCTTCAACGCCGAGATATTCGCATCCGTGTTCCCTACGCGAATCGTTTTCTTCGATTCTATTGCCCCAAGGCAACGCTCCTGCTCCAACAAAGATCGAAATTGACTGGTAAAAACCATTACCGCCGTCTGTACATCGTCCTCGGAGCTAAACTTCCCGGTGAATGCAGGGAATGCGATACCTGCGCTAATACGTATTGATTCTTTAGGGGTTGGGACTTCGCTGTATTCATCATCCGGTTTTATCTTGACCCTCTGCAAGGCCCGCGCGAGGGTGTGGATGAGGCTGACGTCCGCCGGCGATCGGGGCTGGTCTTCGGGTCGCGGGCTTGACTCCGAGCCAGCCGGCCTCTCCAGCTGGGTGTCGCCTCCTTCGGAAGACATGCCCTCGCTCTGTGTTGCGGGGTGCTCTGCTGCTGCTGCTTCTTCTACTTTGATCTTGACCTGCTCCTTGATAAGAGCGTCGATTACGTTTCGCTGCTCGTCCGAGAGCTGGAGTTCATCCAGCTGCTGCTCCATAATTTCCGTGTCACTGTTCTCTGGCCGAACCCTCTTGTAGCTAGCCCCACCTCGGGATCCCGTATGGTATCACACGCTAGCAGGCCCTTCCCGACGCTGCGGCAGCCTGCCTACGAAATTACCACCAGCTATTTTTTCTCGACAGCGTTTGCCAGGACGGTCCTTTGTCTTGACGGTATGATACGCAGGCTGTCACGGGACGGAAGGACCTGACCCCGCGCGGTATGGTGCGGCAAGGATTGGCTCTAATTTTCAACGAAACAGGGAACGTGTAACGTATAACATCAACAAGGGGTCGGCCTTCTAGCATAGGTAATCGTTATAACATCAACAAGGGGTCGGCCTTCTAGCATAGGTAATCGTGGATCTACACAGACATGCACCTCGAGAAGTCGAAAACCGACAGCACTTGAAAGTTTCGAACTTCAAATGGAGTGGCACTTTGTACATACCTCAGGGAATCGTGTGCCTCAATGTACACCTTGGATCAACATCCGGGTCTCGGAGGTGTCCGCATGACGGGAACCCAAATAAGAACGCACCTATGAACGCAAGCGTGACTTCAACGCTTTCACAAAGGCACCACCTTACCTGCAAGAGCTGTGAAGCCTCGTTTTGCTTTTTGAACTTCCAGAGGCCTTCTTAATGTTGACTTATTTCGCCCATTGGCTGTCCGGGTTTTCAAGGCGTCTTTCCGCTTCACAAACTCGAATTTTCGCCCCCTTCAAGCGGAACGATGGGGCCTTCTAGCCGCACGGCCTGCTTTAGGCCTACCCCGACGTGGAGTGCACTCATGACGGCCCACACCCTCCTCCAAGAGTTTGGGACATGTTGACGGAGGTGCGGGAACGCGAAGTTGTCCGTGCCTGGCTCCATAATGACGTCGTAGATCTTCTTCTTGAGCGACGCCAGGCCGTCCGAGCTGCGGCCGCAGATCGAGATGAATCTGCATAGCCAAAGCGAGGGCGGAGGCGACGGTGGGCGCTCCGACGAAGAATTAGCGTTTGAACCCCCTCCCTGGAATGCCCGTTGACGGTTCTTGATAGTCTCGGCGGTCAGCCATTGCTGTGAACATAGAAGTATTGTTGAGATGCAGGACGAACAATGTTTGAGAAAGCGAGACCCTGGAAGCGCCACAGAGGCTACTGTACGGAGAAGCGATGACACGTACCTCCTTTTTTCGCTCCAGGTGCGTCTTGATTGTTCTTCTAGGCTTTCTAGGGTAGATGCTCTCTTGCTGTTGTCAGCAAAGGGGTTCGCGCGCGTTGCCACGACGAGAACGGCGCTCCCTGGCACCCGACAGAGCAACGAATCCTGCACGCAGAAAAAGGAGCGAAAGGTTGGAGGCAATATATGGGAAGTCTGGGTCAACGCGTCTAGACATACATGTTTCGTAACAAGAGCAGGTACGTACATGTACACTTGTAGTTGGAGGGCGGCTACTCTATTCCTGGTACAGACGTTGAGAAGACTTGAGGAACGCTCCCTGAACCAGTCCCTTCCACCAGTTGGTTGGGATGCTGTTCGATGTTTTGGCCCGAGAAATCACTGTTGGATTTGTTTCATTCAGTTCTCACCCTTCCTTCTCTTCTCTCTCCCTCTCAAGACCTTCCCCGCCGCCCGCTAAGGCTGGCCCTCCCGACAAAAAGCTAATTGAAGTCGTGGCCACGAGAATATAGGTTCTTTCTGAGATCTTAACAGCGAGGACTAAATTCGGGAATCTACAAAATATTCAACAACATTCTGAGGGTGATGGAACGTGAAGAATAAACGCGACGGGCTCGCCGCAGAGATCAGAGGTCAATTTATTAAAGTTCCAAGGTGTTCCTCAGTTGAGGAATATTTTGAACAAATGAGCGCCGTTGCTTCTTCGTCATGTCTTTTGTCATGCCTGGTTGAAATTCTCTGCCTCTGTCCACTTTCTCAGGTCTTGTTTTGGGGGGCCATGCCCGCATTTGAGCAGCAGCATCAATAGCGCGCACGTACGCGACGTCATGCTTACTTCATCCACCCATTGCGCCGGTGACACTACTGTCAACATGCTTGCGTCAAAAGATGCTACCTACTGTTGGGATCCCCACATCTATCTTGACTTTGAAATTCCGACAGCATCACCGTGAAGAGGTCACCCCGGCCGGCCACATACCGTGCGTACTTATCTTCATCAACATGATCGCTTGACAACTTCGTCAAAATCTCGAAACGCGCCATACGGCAAACGAAACGGTGCAAACGACAGGCGACGCAGGCAACTTCGGTTACATGCCAGATACCTACCGCAGATTAGAGTGCGGAGAGGCGGGGCGACACAGACAAGACACGCGAGCACCCCATGTCCGTTGACGAGAGTGAACGATGACCATCCGATGCCGCTCACTGCGAGTTCTTGCTGATGTGGATGTTAACTCACGAACCAATTATCCCCGCTCCTCTTCATAATTACCAACTCAACAGCAGTAACATGGAACATGGCACCGACAAGGCAATAACGATCACGGCAAAAGGGGATGTCCGTCGGTTCTGAATCTCCGCAAGCCCCAGAATTCCGTCATTCTTCCAAGAGTGGAAACGATAAGAGGTACCGGATACGAGGAAGACTGGCGGCTTCTTTCATACCGAGAAGACTCAACGGCCCGACACAATACGCGCCAAACCAATCGTCAACGAGTGCCCACGAGGCCGAGCTTCTGACCGACAGGCCGGCGCACCGAATAACAGGGCTAATGAAACACAACGCGCCCATGCCATATCAACGCCTAGACAGAAGCTTACGATCGTATCGTGCAGCCAGCGCTCGCTGCAGGCTGACTTTTCACTCTTCACCCAACCAAAGGCCGAGAGATCGTGCTCGTTCTACTGGAGTATGGACACGGACAGCCACCACCGGTTGCCCGTTGCCTCGTCAGGCTACACTACCAGTACTCTTTCAAGGCATTTTGGGTCTGTTTCGACGATCCAAGCTGTGGCTAGATCCATGGCATCTTGACTGTTGCGAAGAATGCACCGTGCCCTTGAACGGCGACCCTGCGGCTCTTTGCGCGTACCACTGCCATAACCACCATCACCACCGCCGCCACCGCCGCCACCGCCACCGCCACCAACACCAACACCAACATCAACACCACCCAACCACCAACCCACCAAGAGTGGACAATGCCACAACCAAAGCCCAAACGCGACGAACACAAACCACCAACTTCTGCCGTAAACACGCTACCTACCACGCCTACAATCCCCATCTCCACAACCAAACAAACAGAAGCAGCATGCATAGCTGTATCCAAGCAATCGCTTTCCACCCCTTCCTCTTGTTCATTGGACGACTACGGTAAGATCATGTAAAACAACGTACGAGTGCTTCGACATGCCACGGACAGACGCACGGTGTGGATTGGATGGAAACCCAGACAAGAGATGGACAAATGAAACTACCAGGAACAAGTGGACAAGGGATTGAAATAAACACCGAACAACAAACGATACGAAAAAGAAACAAGACAGCGGATGTGTGAGACACACCCAACGCGCATCATACGCGTGTAGTGTGGGGTCTACTCGTTCTCTATAGTAGCACGCGCGCCCCCCGCATCGTCTTGGTCATTAAGAGCACAGCAGACCGGTGGAAAGTGCGTGAGCAAAGGCTGGTCCTACCACGCCGAAACGATCGCGTCGTCGCATGGGTGGATGTGTGTCAAACAAAAGCCTCTCTACCGGAGCTCTCGTTTTTTTATTTTTTCAACTACTGCATTCAACGAGTCAGACACGAACGAAGAGCGAGAACACCAACGAGTGAATAACATCAGCGGCCAGCCCCCCGGCCAGCGACTCAGGTGCGAGGCACAAAGTATGGCGCCTGACACCAAAAAAGAAAGTAGCAGCAGCGGTAATGTGTGCCGTCGGTAGCTGCCGCGCTGCCATCGGCCTGCCTATCGCAAGAATCTGCCACAGCGAGCTCTATAAGCGCAGATGCGCCACAAACTTGCACACCACAAAACACCAACAGTTGCAGCACGAAAAAGGATGGGTGGGCGGCAACATAGAAAAATACAAACAAGACATCAAAACCAAGAAACATAAAATGAACAATTGAAAGCATTAGATACTGAATAGATACATCGGGGTTCCTACATACCAGCAGGAAGAAGGAGCCAGACGCCCGGAGGGAAACGGGGGCGTTTTTCTTGTCTTCCGGGAAACCGCAGCGGGGGCGGCGAGAAACAAGGGGTTCGCGGATCCAAGCAAGATATAGTTGAAAAGTATCTTCTCCTTCTCCCCAGAGAGTCCCCTTCCTCCAAGCGCCCCCCCCCCCCCCCCCCCCCCCCCCCCCCCCCCCCCCCCCCCCCCCCCCCCCCCCCNCCCCCCCCCCCCCCCCCCCAGACAAAAGACATTACAACCCGAGTCAGTGCGCCGCGTCACCGAAAAAAGCCCGGACAGAAACCAAAGGCTCGTTCTCGCGAGCCCATCAGATGGCTGCGATGTCTCTGGGGTCGACCATGAGCGTGTCGCGGAGATGGTTTCTCTCCAGAATGCGCACGATCCCCTGGTAACGATCGTAGTCCACGGTAGGGCGTGGGGCAGGGAACGGGGACGGGGCCAACACACACAACGCGAGTAGGTGCGCAAAAACAAAAGTTGTTGACAAGCTCAGGCTTTGCACGCGGCGGGACCATGCCTACGCGATCATCCCCTCCTCCTCATTAACAAAAGGAAGGTCCGAGCTTTACTCAAGCCAGCACGAACCTAGCCAGATGACGAGGGAAAACGGGAAGGGGTCATCCACAGTAATATATAGTTGTGACACCTGCCCGATCCATCCACCAATTATTGCGGGGCATCTGCCAGGCTTGCACCACACGAAGAACACAAGGGTACCGTAAGGTTGCGAGTCAGCTAGAGCACAGAGCACAAGGGTGCGATCAACTTTCAAAGCGTCGTGTCTCCACAAGTAGGAGGGTGCGAGCGCCAAGTGGTACTTCTCAGGAAAGCCCTCGATGAGACGTTTCCAAAACCGCCCTTTTCGAGAATGCTAACCTCCTGGTTGTGGAGAAATTACGCTTTGAAATCGTTCGCACCCCTGTGCTCGGACTCCCAACCTTACGGTACCCAGTGCCAACACGAGGATAGCTCGCTACCGCAGCATACTTATTTTTATTACCTCCGAGAGGATGTCGTAGAGGTCGTCTGAGTCGAGCTCGAACACCAGCGGGTTCGCGCGGCCCGTGGACCGAAGAGAGAGCACACGGGGGTGGACCGAGTCTCCGGGGACGACCTGCGGTGAACGAGCAGTGGCGTACCCATGAAACCGTACGCCATCGTTCGGAGAGTAGGGGGGGGGNCGGTTAGACCATTGACCACGCGTCCTCGAGAGGACGGAGCATTGTTCCCACAGGACCGATCACCGATGGCCAATCGTTCCTTTCTACTTGCCAAAGGTGGCTCAAAAATGTCTTCCTAGTCTGTGTATCCTAACGGTATCCCTTCCTGCCTTTTCAACCCACCTCCCATGCCCCGGTACAGCTACCGTCCATTACTCTCTTTTCCATGCCTCAAACGTCTCCCTGTACGTCCCATCTATTTTTCCCAGCTCAGTCACGTACACTTCCCTCTCCTTCTTGCACCACGGACAGGAGGGAAGGGGAGCGAATTGACATACGTTCGGACAGTCTTAGGCGTTCAAGGTGCTGCTAGTGGACAAAAATCGTCCACGTCTCTGGGCCCCGTCTGGGCCTTTTCAGCCCGGACACGACAACAGCACCAGCCAAGAACAACGACAAGGTCAACAAAAAACGCTTGCATGAGGGCTTTCGATTTCTTTGTCCGTGTTGCTTGTTTGGAGACGAGGCGACCGTTCCGCCTTAGCCGGGAGCACACACCAGTTAGCTCGATCGCACCAGTTGGAAGATTTGCTTGGAAAGGGACTAACGACGCTGAACGACCATTTGACTTCATTTTCCCACAACAGTGACGCCAACGCTACGCACCAGACCCTTGACCAATGGGTTGTTTGGACAAGGAATGACGACGCAGGAAGGCAAATTCGTGGGGTCCTGTCAGAACAACGCGGCCGCAACAGTCTCTCAAGTCTCAATCAACCCTTCGTCTTCTTCCGAAACGCGAGAATTGAAGCGTTGAGGCGTTTTCCGCTCAAAAGGCTGGCTATTCTAACGCGTCGAGGGCGGGAGTGGGGTGGGGTGATGATTGTTGACTGAGGAAACGCTCCCACATAAAGGCCGCGACGACAATAACAATGCTTTCGAGTGCTGTGTTCCGTTTACGCTGCGAGTCGGCTGTTCCGGGTCCTCCTCCCATATAGGCGCACCTCGACGAGGGAGCGGACGCTCAGGGAGTAGCGTTCATCCGGCACAAGTTCCGCCGCGCCGGGGGGGCACCAGCACAAGTTCTCCCGCTCCTTGTCCAGGAACAACGTCACCAGGCCTGCAAGAGGCAACAGGGCAACAGGCAATAATAACAAACAAGGCAAGAACGGGTCATCGGCAACGAGTACCGAGAGGAGACAAAGCTCACCCAACGTGGGTTAATAAAAAACAGAGCGTTCATAAACCTTCCCGGTCCGAAACTTGTCGCAAATGACACGATCTGCCATTGTGGTTACACATCATATGCGTACAACGAAACAATGATTATTCCATCAGAAACACGTACCTTCATTTTCGTCCTCCAGCGGACAGGTCCTGGACAAGAACTCCTTGATTCGTTTCGGCACCACGTCCACCCACTGCTGGGTTGACTCCGACGTTGCTGTCGCGACAAAACCGTCGGGGAATGTGCCCGCACGATGGACGACAGGAATGAAAAGAATGCGGTGAGCAACACTAGCTTACGTGACTACACGGTGGGCGACCTGACACTTCATGTTCGCGAAACAAATGGTATCGACCCGTCATTTGCAATGGTGTCTCTTTGCAACTGTAGGCAATGTTCTCAACGGTTCGGCCCTGGAAACGATGGCATGTAAGTCCCACGTTTCATATCCATTCGTGGACCGGAAAAAAACTATCCTACATACTTCTCGGTATGTTGGGCGAAAAATGTCACTAAGAAGCCACCCGAGTCAACCAAACACTCCGGCGCCCGCCTTTGGTTACTGTGCTAAACGCCAACAATCACGCAAGGGACCACGCGCAAAACAAAATATGCGACGACTTTCCAACTGCCTTCTTGAAATTGACGCTGCGTACGTGCATACGTACACTGGACAGGGTTGATACGTCAACAGAAGGAAACAAGGCAGTCGACAGCAGAAGCCTCGCCAGCCACCACAACCAACAGCAAAAGCTTCCGACATCGGGACACACTAGCAGCAGGAACAGCAGCAGCAGCAGCAGCGACAACACAATACACCCACGTTACCAAGTACGATACCGGCTAAAGCTTCGATCGAACGCCAACACCCGCGATGCCAAGCACGACACATGAAACTTACAGCTATGCTTAAACACATCGATGCCGGACTTCAAGATGCGGTTGAACTCCCGGTCCGCAGCAGCGACCCCTCCGGCGCCCCAAGAACCCGACCTCCTCCCCCACGACAGCACCGTCTCCCGGCCCCCTTCGCCGCCGCCGTTTGCCGCCGCTACGGCCAGAGCGGTGCTGCCGGTCGATGACGTTGTGGATGTCGTGGCACTGCTGCCGCCGCCGCCGGCCTCCCAGCCTTGAGGCTGGGTGATGCGCGCAGCTCTTGCTGAGGGGTTTGTGCCGTGCGCGATGTGTCCTGTTGAGAAAGAGACGACAGACGGAGATTGAGGTAGGGACCGCTGGAGTTGTTTTCGTAGGAAAATGGGCTCGTTGTTCTTACAGTCCCTGTAACCTACGTTATGAACTGGCTCTTGCTTGAAAAAACGTGCTGGTCCCCGTACCCGTTGAGTGTCCCCTCCGATGGCGCGGACGGAAGCCGTCCTTGCCCTTGCCCTTCTCCGTCGGCTCTTGTGGCTTTCCCCAGCCATCTCCCTCGCCGTCGAACGTCTCGGGAGCCCCTGCCTGTCCGGAGCTTAGCCTAGCGTCGGCGCTGCTGCCTCCTCGCGACAGAGGCACGCAGCTGCAACAGCAGCGGCTCCCCTATAAAGAATCCATCGCGAGCAAAGCCGCGAGAGCGAATAGGGTAAGGCGCACCGTTGAAGCTCACCCATACGACGCCAAGAAAGCAGCGACAAAAACAGCGGTTCGAGTCACACATAATTTCCGGAGCACAGCAGTAAATGCGGCTGCTCAACGCTAGCGTCAGCAGCGGCAACTTCTGTGAGCCCGCCGGCTGCCCAAACAGACAGAAACAGCGGCGCCTTCACGCGCCACCACCGGTTCTCTTCCATGCCAACAACAGCAACAGTGGCGGTAACCCCATCGCCTGTCGGGCGTTTTCAGCCCCTTCAGAAAATTCACTACTCGGCCGCGGCCGCACGACCAATGCCAGAACCACGCGACTGTCCCAAACCAAACCCCGTAGAAAATGGTATACAGCAGTACAGCCATGGCGCATGCAGCCCCCATTCGTGCACCCGTAAACGGCAACCTGGTCCTCGGTGGACAAGTAGAATCAGCCGTCTTTCTTCTACGTTGTCACTCTGCTGCGTGTTTGTTTGCGCGCCACCGACGCAATGCAAGAAAGCACAAGGCGCCGATCACCCGTCGCAGAATGCAGCGCACCATCCATGCGATTCGCCGAATAATACCTCACGGCGCTTCGCGCTTGGTGTTGTGATCGCCTGGTCCGGTGAAAATCCGGCGGGCTCCGTCCCGGCTTTTGAAGGGAATGGTCAAACGACTACGGCATGCACGGCAACGAGTACTCCGCGGGATACCAGGGAGTCCGCCTGCCACAAGTGTAACGTCGCCCAACATTTTGTTGTTTTGTCCTACCAGGTCCCGTATTGTTTTGCGCCTACCTTCACGAATGATCCCTTCCACGTGGAGGTGCCCGTCCCCACCGGTTTGGTCTGCGTCACACTGCCAAAGCTCGCCGAAGAAGAGAAGCAATCTTCCGCTACGTTCCCTACCCGACTCTCGCTGCCGCCCCCCCCGCCGCCGCCGCCGCCGCCATTCCCCCCGGCGGCTCTTGCGTGTTGCATCGATGGCAGCGGTAGCGGTGGTTCGGCAGCTGCTGTTGCCGGCGTCGCCGCTCCTCTACCTCCCGCTTCCTTCTGCTGATGCTGCTGTGGCCGCTCTCTCTCCCCTAGAAGTCCAAACAAACAACAAAAAACGACGACGGAAGAGAGTTGAAAAGCTCTGCAAGAAAATTACCTACACGTGTCAGATGGCAAAGGCGGTATCAGCCCTCCCTCTCCGCCCCATTAGCCCCACCCCCCCCGGTGTTTACCATCGGGGTTGGGTTTTCGTCGGTTGGCAACGACGCTGTAACACAACCCGCCCCCCCCCGGTGTTTGCCATCGGGGTTGGGTTTTCGTCGCTTGGCAACGACGTTGTAAAACAAGCCCCCCCCCCCGGTGTTTGCCATCGGGGTTGGGTTTTCGTCGCTTGGCAACGACGTTGTAAAACAAGCCCATTCACTTCGTGAACTCGGCCCAGGATACCGTTTTTTTTGGCGGTAACCATAATGGTGGTCGAGTAGGTCATGTTGTGCGNGGCAGTTAAACAATGCTTACAACTGTCTCTGGAAGTGAAATCACCAGAAAATAAACAAAGTCATACGCAGCTGTCATCCGTACGCAAGGAAGTAAGCACAAGATCACGAACACCCTTCGCAGGATGCAGCGAACCCTTCATTCGACTCGCCGAGTATCTCACGGCGCTTCGCGCTTGGTGATGTGAGAGTTTGGTCCGGTGAGAACCCGGCGTGCTCCGTCCCGGCTTTGTAGGGATGCGAGGTCAATGGTCTAACGACTAGGGCACGCACGACTATGAGTACACCACCCTCTCCGCCCCATTAAATGTCGCTATCTCTTTCTCTTTCTCCTTCGATTGCTTCCTCCTCTTATCGTGGCGCGTGGTGGAGGCCGTCAAAGTCGGCAGGGCACGCAAAAAGTTGCGCTACACTATGTTGTGGTCGCTCATCACCACCTCGCCAACCAACAAATCTCTTCGGTACAGTAGGGGTTGTCGCCTTTGGCACTGACCTGCGTCGCCGGAAACGTTCTCGCCGGCACTGTTGCCGCCGTCTTCTACGCGTGTCCTTCTTCGGCTGGACACCGATGCTGCTGCCTTCGTCGTTGCAACGGTGGTGGGAGCTTTGACATTCACCGCCGTTGGCGCTGCCTCCCCCTGAACAGGGATGGGACGAAAAACCGAGAGTTGAAGTCACGCTGCGAACGCGGTTGTGAATTCTTCTCGCAGAAGATTTCATGCTAGACACAACACTGGTCGCCCCGGTGGTCTAGTGGGTACCCTCGCAGACTGCTAAGGGCTAGGTCATGGGTTCGAGTCCCGGCAGAGAGAGTTTTTTNATCGACTTCGTAAGTCGCGAGGGAAGGGATTGCTGTACCCTTCTCGCGATAAAAATACCTCAGGCATGAACCGCAGGAGGGGGTCCAACCCCCCCCTCCCATGTGAACCCGGTTGGGTTGTCTAGCTAGTAGTAGTGGAGGAGGGGCCAGAGGGGCAGACGACAGAGTCCAATGATGGGAGAAAAAGAAACAAACAAACATGAAACCAGCAGAAGTAATACGTGTTCTGCATGGACGCAATCGGTCTTCGGCCATGCCGCAACTTGACAATCTCCTCGACTTTCGCACGTTGCGTTTCATGTTCAGGGTCTTACCAACCCATAGACACTTAACGGGGGGCCCGATCGAGCGTGAACAAGGGATGTCCAATTCGCTTCGCCTAGGTCGCTGATCCTTCTGAGTCGAGTTAATCACACATGTACAAAATACAAACGGCAATTATTTATATTGCCTTGCGCTTGCGCGGGACATAAAAGTTGCGCCTACTGTTCAGCCCCGATCCTGTTCTTGTCTTGACAATTAGAAAGTCCCTAAACCTGAAACCTAAAAATACCAACTACGACGAACAAATTCTAAACACACAGACTACTTCCAACACGCTCCCCGCCCAAAGCGTGATGAATGTATGCTAGGAATCCACAAGGACCACAGAATCAACGCGTATGTATGCATACAACTCCTAATAGACAATTATTTGTTCATAAGACCACTGTTTATCACGTGGTGTGATGCGAAATGATTTTTTTTACGCTCGTGTCCCGACCGACAACCAACAACCAACGTGTGGAACAGCAAACCCTTCACCATAGGGTTCGTCGGAGCCCTTGATGGGAGCAATACGTCAAGAACACAGGTCGCACTCTGATTTTGTCTATCGAGGTGTCCACAACCCCCAAGTAAGATCAAGATGCAGTTTTCCATATACACGTACATGCAATTATCTTGATCTTGGGGGGGGGTCGCTTTTATCTTGCCAAGGTTTTGAAAATCAAGATCAAGATTTGTTTGCCATCAAGAGTGGTCTAAGCTGTGTTTCCGTCCAATCGTCCATCCGTCGGTCCTACATTCTAATGCCGCACCTCCGCGGACCCTTGCCCAAAAGTACCAAAAAATAACGAAATTGCTTCTATGATAACGACCGTATAGCAAGCAACCTTCCGTCCTCGCGAATGATTCATCCAATGCAACCCACGACTGACATTTTCCCCTCTCGATGCGAGCGGGAAACGGAAACCAAATCATAGACGTATTTGCGCTACATCTCCGCCGCCACAAGTTCATTGGCGCCCTGAGCGCATAGCATACTGGTATGCATACGGATGCTCCAGAGGGGCACAGCAGTTACTGCTGTTGAAGGGGCATGCTCAAGAGCGCCTCTAGCGAAGGGTTGGAGTCCGAAAGGTTTAGCTAAAACGGCGGCTTATATGAAGAATGTTTCAGCGGAGGGGGGTTCATGCTCTTGCAGCAAGTGCGCTTTGATACAATGTTGAGCATACATTTTATTCGAGAAAATGTGCATTTCTCAAATGCTAGCACGGGTGCTAACGAGTACCAGAGGCTTCTCCCTGCCCTCTCCTCCGGCATTGCCAGCACATGGTATGGCCATCTTCGCGTACAGTTCACGACATGTGCGCAGCTGAGCTACATATCTAAACATGAACACATTCGTTCTTTGCACACTCTTGATGGTCGGCATACGATGGTATACACATCATTTGAGATGAAAGACCTAAGCATACCGTGTACAGCAACTGGAAGCTTGTATTCATATCTACCCGTTGGGAAAAAATACCCCGCCCTCCCAAGGGATGTAGCCTAGTGTTTGTAGTCTTACGGCTACTGAAGGGTCAGCATTGACACTGAGAAAGCGGCCGGCCATCAAACACACCGTCGACAAATGCTGTGTATGAGAATTTGTACCTGTGGCCCACGTAGAAACCATGATGGCATTGAAGTACAACCTTTAGTAATATTCGCTCATGTAGGGCCTAGCGGGGAAACATGTAACGCACAGGGTCGTCGGCTCGTTCTATTAGAGTTGTGTCCGCATGGCACACTGGTCAAAATAATCGCCGGGCTCCAAGCAAGCCGTGCTTATATTGCGGTAGTAGTCTCGAAAACGCTCTACGACTGATCTGCTCTGCATGCATGCATTTGAACCCGTGGACATCAATATATGCATATGCACGCATACAAGGCAGTGGGGGTACGTATGGATGCAGTACAGCGGCAAACGTACTTATTGTATGACTGGTGGGGGGATCATGCGCCACGGCAAAAATGGTAAACCCCCAGGGTGCCCTCTTGGGCAAAATGGTACACCTATATAGGGTTGGCATCTCAGGGCTTCATTACCGACAAGGACTACCTGCTCAAGGAGTACCTGCTCAAACGGATATATTGCCGGATCAGAAGTTTTCGGTGACGTGGTTACCAAAACGTCGCAGTTTGGAGGCGAGTCAGAAGCACGGACCGTTGTCTTGCAGTAACACAACGGACTGGTAGAGAAATTGGTGGGTAGGAAAGAAGGTAGGGTATGGTCTACTTCGCGATTGCAATTGCTGTGTATACTGGACCGGTTATTCACATACGCCTGGATCCTCATCAGCAGTCAGGCACTCTCGCACACATTCGATACAACGAGCCGCACAGCAGAGCGGTGCACACCACCCACATCCGTCGTACATGCGTTGCAAACACCAAAAGTCTTTGTAGGGTACGGAGACGCCAGAAAAAGAACCAGTCATGTTGCCTCGTTGTTGTGATGTTGCCTTGTCAGGCATTTCGGAGAATAATAATTTGATGATTGTCCGCACATCACCAACGACAACAAATCCAGGAAAGGAATTGCGGAGATAAAGGGCGCGCTGGCGCGGCATGTAGTGTGCCGTCGCGGTGCTGCTGTCTCGCCTACAAGGGGCATGAGAAGCGCAACCAGGAAAGAAGCCGCCAATGTCGAACCACAACTTCTTCCCTGGGCGATAGGGTGACGACGACGTACGCGCACGCTTTTCTCGGTATGCTGTTCAACCGAAAGACCCTCGCCTCATCATCACAATAATTTCCCGTGCACACCAGTTGCAGCCCTCACCTTTAGCGAGGCCAGCCGCTGGGATGCTGTCGGCAGGTGTGCGGCCTCGGGCGCCATCTTGATCCCCTCCCTAGTGTGACGGGGTCAATTGTGCTGGCTCTCCTTTTGCACCAGCTCTCCGCTATATGCCCTGGTTGTCTCCGTGCCCCTCCGCGTCTTGCCGAAGTAGTTGGTTGCAGCCGAGGAACCTTCCACGAGCCGGTTTCCACACACCCACAGACCGCAACACCCAACTTTTCCGATGCGACACACCAGCTATGATATGTCGATTCCCTCCTCCTGTAGCCTGTTACGTTCTGCTGCGGCCAAACAGCGGGGTGAGTCTGTATCGACCGTAGCTTCTGCTGCTTGAGTCGGGCTGTAGTGCGGTACTGCGGTATGTCTACCTTCTAAAAAGGTCGGGCGGGCTGGCTGAATGGCATCAGCACTTTTCAACCATTGGAGAGGGGGGTTTCGGGTTTTCCAAAGGGCGAGGGGGGGGTAAGCCCGCGCGGGGCGGCCAAACGTTGACTTTGGACAAGCACGGACAGAAGGGGTACACAGAACAGAAAGAAAATACCCACAACGGATCCAACGGATCCAACCGGACCTATATACTAGACAATACAGTAAAGCATCCTTCTGTTCGGCGAAAAACGGCCCTCGGTGGGTGTGACCAGTACCAGAGGCGCGCCTTCGTTCCCGCTGCTAAGAGAATGGGTCCTGACACCAAGCGTTTCTCTGGGAAATCAGCAGGAAGACCAAGGACCCCGAAACAACAGTTGTAGCGTGCGGGCGGTAACACCCCGCCGCCGACGGAGCGGGGGCGACAAAACAATGCCCGAGGCGTTAGGAGGTCTGCCGGCGAGAAGAGACTTGATTCGATCTCGACTCTTTTCGTGAGAGGTTGTGGTAGCTGCTGCGGTGTGTCATGAGACGAACACTCTCGGCCTTGTCCTGCTACTGCTTCGGGTGCTTCTACGCTTCTTATTTTGGACGGCAGCTAGCCTCAACGTCGGTCCGCATCATTTGGTTTACTCACGGCTGCATGTGGTGATGTGAAGGTCAAGTTGGGTGGTCGGCAAGGGCAAGGTGCGTCCGTCCATCTCGGGCTGATGCCTTGCCCGTAGTCTCTAGGATGACCTTGCCGCCATTCACCCCACATTCTTTCTCACGTGTCAACTGTGGTCATGATTGACTCCTTTCGCTGAGAAGAGTAGGACATACTGTTACGTACGACAGAGTCGACTTTGCTTCTTCTACCAATGTTGTGTACCTCCTTCTCCATGTATCTGAAGCTGACAGCAACTACAAACAAATCCAATCGATATAGTCTACTCACTGTAGTTTAGTCGTTATCGTCTCACTTGGACAAACGTGTGTGCTGTATGTGTACATTTAGTCTTGTCAAGGAACGTATCAGAGAAGGTGTGCCTTTGGATCCTAAGACTACCGTGTAGTAAAACGTGTGTGTAGAACCTTTTCCTACTGGCGAGCAAGCAAACCGAAACCCTGGGGGGGGGGGAGGTCACCGCGGGAATCCCGTTGCTTCCTACTTCTGACGTATTGTGTTGATGTTGGTCCGGCAAGGATACAGACGGAGCGGGGATGTGCGTCTTTACCTCTCCTCTCATGGCCCCCTGTATTCTCGCCGGCCCAAGTGCATGCAAACGCCTCCATGCAGACCCGTTCGGCGTCAACAGAAGCATTAAATACCAGAAGGCGTTCTAGCTTCAACCTATCTATGTAAAATGGTAGCCAGGCGAGAGGAAATTGATCGAGAGGTCCCACTTTCCCATCGGGTTCAGTCTCGGAAATAATATAAAAGTTTCGATGGCCTCACAGTCTGAGACCACGTCTATGCCTGAGATCTCGCCTCACATAACGAAACAGTTCTTCACGTCTATCGTAAGATGACAATAACGTAGTCCAGGATGTAAGAGAACATCGTGATGCCCCAGATTTGGTTTGTTGGTGCTCCTTCGTTCGTTCTGGTCCGAGTCACGTCGCTTTGGTAGAGGCTATTGGGTGGTCTTACTACAGGGGGAAACGTGGGTAGGAGAATTGGGAATTGTAGCCACCACGAGTCATCATGGATGTGCCGAGACGAACCACCGCCTGGTTTCTCTTCACCTGCTCTCTCAAACGAATGCCACCGTCAACGGTGCCGTGCCAGAGAACAATGATATTGGACGCTACCTACAGTACACACCATACGCATCAACATCGATTTCTGGAAAACCGTTATCAATGTCGTAGTCACGTCGAGAGTCACCGACCTCGATAGAGTAACCCCGTTTCTCCAACCCCACACTACGCACAATAGGCGGACGTCTCCGTGCACATTGTCGTTCAAGACGAATACTCCACCAACACAGGCGAACGTGCTATCCTATCGATGGAGCTGCCTCACCCCGCTATCCCTCTCTAGTGCACTGTCCCCGGAGCCGTCGCCCCTATCGAACTGAAGGCGGCGGCTCATGCTCTCAAGCGTTTCATACCGGCCATCTCACGTGTGTCCCTGGTAAATTAACTCGTCCGCAACAGCCTGCATTAGCCTTGCCCCTCCAACCCCGTGAAACGGATGGCATTCGTCACTCAGCGTAGCCGTTCTGGAAAAGGGGCACGCCACTCGTCGTCCTCCAAACTCAAGCCTCCATGATTCGGCATCACCTGAACGCCCTCGCTTGCCCCGTAACCCGGCCAACTTTCTAAAGCGGGCGCCAATCCAGAATATCAACTGCGTTCGGAGAGGGGGAGGACATAACGGCCAAACCAAGCGCAGCAGACAATGGGCGAAATCAGCCAAGGGGTGCACGTCATTCCGGCCCTGAACGCAGCGGCAAGCTCGCTGCTGTCATCCTATACGCTTATCAGTATACTGGACCACGAGCGCTGGATGAAGGTTGGTGGGCGTGCGACAAGTGGGTGTGTGACACTAGTGACATTAGTGCCTAGTGCGCCGTTGCTGGAGCCTTTCACCTCGCCATGGTCATTGGCGGTCTACTGCCCGTGGAAACAACCCATTGCGTTCCTATTACAGCGTCTCTTGACTTCCCCCGTGCGTCCCGTCTTTGTTCCTCCTGATTTTTTTTTCGTGTGGCGATCACGCGGCTACTCAGAGTAGTTTCACGCGGTGATTGTAGTGGCGACATGGAATTTCGGACCCGTCATGGCAAGCTAGACGCTTTCTGTCCAGTTACAAGACATTTCGGTGTTTGCGAAAGTCGACGAATGATTGCTTTGCCTTGGTCTCCGTAGCATTGACGGCACAACCAACCACTTGCACCTATAAGGCCTCTGGAACCGCGACTCTGTCAAACTGAGTACTATTACTGTAGCCGCGAAATGCCGAAAATGTCGAGCTCAAATGAATCACAGAAACCGACCGCTTCAAATCAGCAATCCCGAACGATTTCGGTCGCCCAAAATATTGTTTTCGTTGTTGTCGTGTCTAGGAATGGGGAGACGAACACGAGGCGGTAGCAGTGATGCACCTCCGCACCCCGATTCTCTCGGCGGCTGTCGCGATGGGAATCGGCGGTATCACTACTGTACATCAGGTGGCCCTCTCTTCGCTACGTCTGGACGGCGAGGCACGTTACCCCCTCTTCAATTCCGTGGAATGCTTTACCCCCCCACTCTGCCTGTCTTGGTGTTTTGGTCTTGTTCAAATCTAAATCATTATATACCATAGACAATACTTCCGGATCAGGCTTTTCCATCTCGCGGTCGCTTGCACGCAAAGAGAAAGTCTATCGTAGTCCGATGCCCCCCGCTCATGTGTATCATATCAGGAATCCAATCGTTGGTCACTGGCATTGCTCCCTTATTTCCACGGTCCGGACACAGCATTTAGCAAAGAAAAGTTTGTGCACGCTCGTGACCGTCTTCAGATCGAGCTTGTACCACGACAATTACGTTTTTTTTCCCTGCGTAATGGCAAACATCTAGCTGTACTATTGGCGTACATCTTGCGTACCGTGGCTCAGTATTTAGTTTGGGATCACTTTTCTCTTTCCTTGTTTTGTAGGAAACAGACGTGTCATTTTTTGTCCTTGGCGCGTGCCAAGTACACCATTCAAATTCATTTGCACCCGGCCTCCTCTCTTTCTCTGTCGCCTTGTTCAATTGAAACACTGAGCCTTTCGTCGCGTGGTTACCCAGCAAAAATCTAACGCCGGGTAGGACGTGTCAGGGATGACGAAGCATCAAAGGCGATGTTGCTGGTTTTCCAACTACTATAGTAGGAAAAATGCTCTACCAGGAAGAGTATTGAGTCTGGTCGAGATTATGATTGTTGTGACAATACCAATATTGAAATCGAGCATTCGCTTGCTGCCTGTACTTTTCCGTCCACCTCACTGCAACCCGTGGTAATCAGATCGAGCTCGGAGCGAACGTGCTGTGCACGTGCCTCGCTGCCGTCACGGGCATCACCACCATGTCCGCGATGCTGTACGTCGCCAGAAAGGATGCATTTGGCGGGGTTGACAGGGTGGAGCGGTTAAAAGAGGTCATCCTCAAGGTGAGGTGTTTTGCTCCCCTCACAAGCCGGTGTACCCGCTTCTGTACCCTCCACTCCGCCCCCATGATTGACCGTACATCGTTAATCGTCCTCGCTTGGGGGGGTAGGCGGAAGCGGCCGTGCTCTGGGTGCCTTTCGGATTCACCTCTCAAGGCAGCAGACACGCCAAGTGCTGTGGTATGTTTGTTGTATTGGGCATGATTCTTCCGTGTATCATGTGTCTGCCTTACAGTCCGATCTATCGTCCCTTGTGCCAGCGCCAGTTCACTTCCCTGCAGTACTCGTTCCTCCATCCCCTGCACCCGGTTCCCCTTGCACCTCGCACATCTCTTGCTCTCGCACGCCGCCGATCCCCCCCGAAAAATCGACGCACAGCGGCACACGATAGCCGAGCTCAAACTAAAGAAGGGCTTGGGCAAGAAGGCGGCTTACTTGGGGCAGGTGCGTGCGACTTCACTGCGACCAAGACTCCACTGCTGTAGACCTAGACGAAAACCCCGTGGAACACAAAGGATTCTTCTTCCCGAGTTGTACGTGTAGATAAGAATCTACACCATTCATCGTTTGAGTCCCGCATACAGCATTGTTGCAAAGTACGAGGAGGCGGGTGCAGTGAGACTTGCAGATGGACGCAGGTGTGGTATTTGTTTTTTTGGCCGAGGAGTCCCTCGCATGCAAGCCTCAACCCCATCGCGTAACTCTGTGTTGATCTTCTGTCATACAATCACAGAATTCGTCAAGGAATCCTTGCAGCGGATTGCAAGGGGTTCACACTTCTCAAGTCTCAGAAACACGCATTCGTATTACCGCGACAAGACTTTTCCATGCTCACCGGCGTAAGCGCCCCAGGCTGAAATCTATACTACCAAAAACGCAAAGAAGCCGCAATCCGGACAAGACTGCAGCAGCTCCATTTGTTTTTATGATCATCTGCATTTATTTACCGTCAGACTGAAGATTCAATTGTATATCCACAATTTGAGTTTCCTCTAGTTATTCACAACAAGACATCAACCAATGTCTTCGTACGTCAATGCCGATGAGGTCTTCCAGTGAAACAAGCATAGGACGGACTCATATTCACTCTCTCCTACCCCCGCCCCCCCCCCCCTGTTAACAACATATTCATGCACCACCGCGAGTTCTTTGTTCACCCAAGTTCAGACCGCACACTCGTGGATTTTCCTTTTGCAGCTGCAGCATATTGTGGCTGCAGGAACGATACTGGCGATGGGAATTCTGGGGTGCTGGGCATTGAACGTGCTTGGCCTTACCGGAGAATTCATGGTAGTCTGGAGAACGTCGGGCATCGTGGTGCTGGCGTTCTACCTGCTGACAACTAGCATCGTTTCGTGCTGGCTGCTCTTCCGAGTGCTGGTCTGGAAGCCTTCGTATGAGTGCCTTCGCCCGCTGTGCTCGGTGATCTTCGCCATCTCTGTGTGGTCCGTGGACTTATGTGAGTCTCGAGCACAGCTACCTGTCGATGTCCGGTGTGAGGTTCATTCCCTGTCCCTCGACGGTAGGCAGGCGTGGAGAGAGCATGGAGGCGGACAGAGCTTCCGCCATTGATTCTTCGTGCCGTTGTAAAAGAGGGTTTTCGAAACGTGTACTCCGTACCATGCAATATAGTACCCAGTACACAGAATTGGACCCTTGTCTGAGGATTGTCTTACCGCTACGTGGCCTTGAGGCCACTACGTACATATTTCGCTTGCTCTGTTAGAAGGTCGGTGCCGCGTGTCCACGCCGAGAGAAGGCCATGACTTGCTGCGCTCAAGAGACCAGGGTCCTGTAACTTCGGTAGAACAAATAGTCTATTAGACATGGACAATACCCTGCCGACGGGCGTAACCAGACACAAAACATGCGAAACCCTCATGATACTTTCATGTCTTCCAGTTTATTAAAGGGATTGTCGCATACTCCCTTCTCGTTTACAAGATTATGTCCCGAATATACATGGTGCATCGTGTCAAGTACACGATGACGAATTTGGTGAGACCTCTGCGAACGCATATGCGGGTCGTCCTTGTCTCATTATGCCGACGTGTCTTTGTCTAGGGTTGCCTGCAAATCAGAAAACATTCGTGAACATTTGTGTCGATTCGCGATCTCGTGCTATGTTCATCAATCACCGATAGTACAACGAGGTTCGATCGATTGCCACTTCTGTGCTCAAGCAGTCGGGAAAACTATCGCCATCACCTTCGAGTACGCGGGGGGCGGTCTTGGGCGAGTTGGCCTGGGGTGGTCTGTAGGGGCGTCCAGGGACGGCGGGGAGTGGCTGATGATAATGATGGCCTTCGGTGCGGTGATCACGCAGTATGCCATCGCTCTGGAGCTCCGCCTGGCATACTGTGGCCTGCAGGATACCAACCTCGATCTTCAGGTGTGAAGTGAACCACGGCATAATTTCTGCTTTCGTTACTACCGCCGTGTGGTATTCTACTGCGCACCGAAGCCACGACGAAAATAATCTTCTTCGCTCCTATCAGTGAAAAGATGGGGCCGCGGACGGGCGTGCCCTTTGAAGACGGCCGTATTATCTATGCATCGAGCACTACTTAGTATTCCTCAAAAAAATCCTGACCAGCATGCTTTCTCGAATAAGACGCCACCTTCGCCTTACAACCACTCAAACCCGTCCCCCGATCAAAGGTCAATGAGGTGCAGCCTTCGGCCAGCGACAGTATATACATGCGTCCCCCCTTTCCCTCCGCTTTGGTGAATATCTGAACACAGTTGCTCGCGGGCACAAGCGCTCCCGAGGAGCGCATCCGAAAGACCTCCGCCATCAAAAACAACACTAGCAAGCGCCGGCACACGGGGCAGGGGGGGCGGACGGGGAACACCGGGTCTCGCAGCCCCCCCGCCCGATCTCGTCGGAGATCTATCGTGGTGCACGCCTCAGCAGCGTCGTCCTTTGCGTCGCCGGTGAGCTCCCTGGGCTCCCCAGTGTCTCCGGGGTCTTCCAACTCGCAGACAATGAACCTGACCAGAACCTTTTCTCCCGGCAGCACCGATGGCGGTGATGGGTTGGCGAAGCACGCTGCTAACTTGTCAGCGTCTGCCGGCGTCGTCAGCGCCTTGTTCAGGATGGGACAGAAGTCAATCGGGCTGTCAACGAAGAGTAGCCAGGTGACGATTTGCTGGAGTAGTGACAACATTGATCGATGGGTGTTTGGGTCAGATTTGTACCCCCGCGCAAATGTTTCCGATGCTATTCGGATAAACTGGTCTACACCACGTTTGGGCGCTCGTGGAATTTCTGCCGTCTCCTTTTTATGATTGTCGAGGTTTTGCGTTCTATGACCAATTGATCCTAGACAGCCGCGATGGGTTCCTCGCTCTGTGGTCTATCGTTTGGCGCCGATTGTCAACATGCCACATCCGTTCGGGGGCGACGTGTTTCGTGCTTCGAAACGCGTTGGAAGTTAAAACACATGCTACCCAGCAACTATGGCCCACCCCTTGTGATATGAGAAAACGATATATCAGGCACACACATGCGCCAGGCGAGCACCTTAACGCTTGGGGAGGAATCGAAGTCTATTTGCGGGGTGTGTAGCGCTAGATTCAGCGATCTCACGGGTTGTGAGTTCATTCTTTTCATTCCAGCCGCCTCCTCTGTTGTAGTCGCTCGAATGATCATGCGTCAACCTACCGTGCGGTCTTGCCGGTCTCACAACAAGACCTCCGCTCCGGACACACACGGAAGGTTCAAAAGCGGACATCGTTCTGGATTTCATCGTCCAGTTTTGGCAAACACGAGGTTTACGTGCCCGTGCTGTTTCATTTACGTTTTTCCCAAAACTGACAAAACTCACTTAACCTCGCCTGAAAAAGCTCGCGCGCTGTTCTTTACTCCTTCCGAAAACTATGACAAACCACTCGTTCAGCATCCAGATCGGTCGATGGCAACTCAGTATTTTCTGGAACAGAAATACCGCACAAGTTTCGCTCAACCGCATTGTTGAATCCTCAGAAAGAAGTGAAGTACATTCAATGCGAAGCTCCTGTATGACATTCCTCGCGGGGGAACCCGGTCGGTGTACCCGAAAAACACCAAACCGCAATATTTGAACGTCAACACCCACAATGAATGAGATGACGACACACACACACGTTTCAGACGATGGTAGCGGCATGTAGAAACACGTTTTATAGACGAATTCGCCCGAACCCCCCCCCCCCACGCGCGTGGTTGACACCGTGGCGAGTAGTCGCGCAGCATCCGGGTCCAGCCGGCGATGGACTGCAGCAAGGTCCTCGTGTACGAACCGAGCGTTGCCGAGGATCCGGAAGAAGACAACAACCACCCCCAGCCGCTTCTACCGAGTCTGCGACACCCCCCCCACAAACCACCGCCGGTGGCGTCACCACCCGGGCAGGCTTCCGCCTCTTCTGTCGAGGAAGGGCGGTGGACCCGACGGCCCACGAGCGACGGGAGGGGGAGTCCTCCGTCGGTAGCGGTGGACTACTCCTCGCGGTCTGCGTTGTGAAAAAAAGGAAACGGCGGCGAGTGGGTCGTTGTCCAGTAGAAGCAGGACCGCTAAGCAAAACGCTCCCACGATCTGAGCGTAAGCAGGAGAGAGGAGCGCGCAAAGCCACGGGACGCGGCGCGTGAGTGGTTCAAAGCGGGGGGTGGGGGTGTTGGGCCGCTCCTTGGAAATGTTGAAATGTTGGTACTCTACCGCTTCTTGGACCACGATACACGCGGTGGCAAATAGATATATCTTGGTAGGTTTTGTCGACGACGGGATCGATAGCAGTAAGATAATGGCGGGGTTTGGGGTGAGGCCAGAAACTAAACCACACTCGTTAGATCGTAATGGAGCATCCCTCGGGTGCAGGCAGACATATCTCGAAGTGCGAAGCGCACGCATGTAAACGAATATCGTGCACGGGAGAAAGGGGGGGAGGGGAGGTTAGGTAGAAGGAAATAGTGCTCCGATCGATTTTGAAGAAAACATGATATTGCTGAGAATAGTTCAGTACCACTCTTGATGTGAACGCTCAATGCCGGAAAAAACAGTTTCGCCCGAATTTTCTAAGCCAGTCTTCAAACACGAGGAATACGTTTCGAGGCTGTCAAAATCAGTCTCTATTTCACACAATAGAACTGCAACACATCAAAAAGAACATCTGATTTGTCAGTCAGCGGAAATATGTTCGCCAGCACCAGACACACCTAGAGACGGTCCTCTCCTAAACGCTGTCGGACATCGTCACGCACTTAGATCCGAATAAATCGTGGGGATTAGTCTAATTACGAACCGGAAGCACCACAACGACAATGACGACGATGATGACCAGGACAACAACGACTACGACGACGATGACGATCTCGACGACACCGCCACCCCCACCATCACCGACAGCAGTAACAGCAGCAGTGCGGATGACAACCACGGCCCAGTAAGAACCACACCACTAACAGCAACTAGCAACCGCATCAAGGACGAATGAAAGACGAGAGCACTACCCCTTTCGAAGCCCGGCTGATACCAGGAACGACAGTCACAAAACGAACAATTATGGAATATCTAAACAACACGACATGCACCATCAGTAACGAAGCCGCGGAATAGATAAAAAAAAGTTGCTGTGAAGTTCACAAACGCAAATGTAGCCAAATCTCTCAAAGCTAGGGAGGGCATGTCCACGATCCCCGCCTTCATGCTTGCGGCTCGACGACCGAAGAGATGCACACGGACAACGCATCCGCGCAGAAGAACTCCTTGTCGCCGTGCCCGCTGTCGGTGCCCCCCTTGCCCCGCTCATTCCGAGTCGTCAGCACTCTCCCTCGCCTTTTCCAGTAAGAGGCTCTTCCCTCGCCGGTGGCCGCGGCACCGGCGGGATCCGGTCGGGGCGACGCGCTGACGACGCCGCGACGTTTGGATTCCTTGCTCCTTGCACCCTCCTCCTGCTGGGGCTGCTGTGTTCTACTGTGGGGTTGGCTGTCGATGGTACCGCCGTCACCGTTGTCGTCATTGTTGTTGTTGCTGTTGCTGCTGCTGCCGCTGCCGCTGCCGCTGGTGCTGGTGCTGGCGCCGCTGGCAGTTGCGGAAGGACTAGCAGGACAAAATCTCGCTGGGCGTTTGGCTCGGCCGACATCGGCGGCGGCGGCGGCTGCAGCGGTCCCCGCGGCGGTGCCAGATGGATTCTTCCAGAACTTGGTGGCCACGGCTAGTCGGTAGGCCTCCGCCAGATTGAGGTTCGACAACGCCACTTGCTGAGCCTGATGCACAGAACAACATGGAGTGGGAATACTGGTCCGGGCACTCCGACAATGCTACAGCATGAGCCACACATCTGCGGTGGTATTGAGGCAGCTTGAACGGATATGGCACCTATATTCATCTTATCTACCGTCTGCTACTGGTGCGTTTTAACATTGCTGGGGCACGAAACGTGGGTGAATAAAATGTGCTGTGGTGGTAACGCTACAACATTTCCTGCTTGCGTCTCAACGACTAGAGCAATGGGCTCAACGTGATCCTTCTGCTTGTTTACACACATTGCCTTGTTCTACCCTGCCTTTTGATAGGACCATGCCCTCCTTCATAGAGAGTGGCGTGACTTACTCTTTGCTGTTCTTTGAGTTTTCATGACGTGACCACGCGGAAATCCGTGAACGTGGAACTTCGGCAACAGGCAAGAATTAGGGGAGGCGCTGGATATAACAATATAAGAACGCGTGGGTGGGTTCTAACGAGAAAGACAGCAACGACGGTTCCTTTGTGCTTACCTCCCCCGCCAGCCGCAACATCCTCGACACCGATCCTCGCGTCACACGCCACCTCGACAACTCATCGAAACCCGGAAACGGCGGTGCGGCCCCGCCGTCTTCGTCTCCTCCGTCACCCCCGCCCACGGCGGCGTGAGCCTCTCGCCGAGCCCCCGCCTTGCTCCCCTCGCCGATCACCGCGCGCCCGAGCCGCCTGCTGCTGCTGCTGCTGCTGCTGCTGCGCCCCCCTCCCGTCACGCGCCGACCACGGCCACCATTGCCACCCGCTTGCCCGCTCTGGTCTCCCCCCAGTGGCGAGGGGTGTTGACCACGGAAAGAAGGGGAGGCCCCTCCTCCATGGCCTTTGCGTGGTCGAGAGTGCACGCTCCTAGCTCCCAAAACTGCCCCGCCCACGGCCTCCCTGCTGCTCTTGGGGCCTGTTGGAGGCGTGGTGGTGGGGCCATGGTAGTGCGCGGAGCCAATACCGGACCCCCGTTCCATCGCTGACCCTGGGTTTCGAGTCCGGGGAATTTGGAGTACGCGTTTAGTTCTTCGGAGTAAGGAAAGAAGGGGCACATCGCATGTTGTGGCGTGAAGTTGCTGGAATGCGCTTCGTGTTGCCGACACTCTAGTCACCTCCGCGGCGTTAGCCTGCATCAAAACCGTTCACTTCAGGGAGCACTTTCATTGTCACGACAGAATCATATTTTTTCCAGTGAAACATGTCCTCCAGACCTGGATACGGAACCAATACGGTATGGCCTTATTGACACGGCCAAGCGGCTCTCAAATCTGCCTAGATTTTCGCGAAGCGTACTACTACCGTAGACAAAGGGGTATATCTCTCCCCCTCCTCCCCACCCAACCACCAACCCGGCGATTCTAATTCATCACAAGATTTTCCGGGTGAGTCGGATCGAATGTTCCAGAAAACTCGTAGCAGACTCGAATTGGCGGAGGGAGGGGACGGGGGGCGTGCTGCTAGCCCCGTCATGTGTGGACCGCCCCCCCCCCCGTACGATTCCTAACGTTGAAGTCGTGACCATTATCACCGAGAGGGGATGCCTGTCGACCGTGCATGCTGGCACTATGCGGGGTCGCCGGGGTCCCTTGCCTCGACGGGGAAGAATAGCGAGTGCACGATCGGGGTCGAGGGGCCGGGCGGGAAGGGGCGGGGTGAAACACGCCTCCCCTGAAGATCCGGTCGAACTCCTTGTCTACCTGTTGGCGAGCGGCGGAGGCACAGTTCGTCAAGGGGGTTGGGTGGTGTCGACACTATGAACATTATTTAGAGTTTGGGGGGAAGGGGGGGAGCAAGTCTGGAGCGGGCCGTCAGTCATTCCGTGCTGTATAACGCTTGGAGAGGAGCACGGGAGAATCTTCGTGGGGGCAGAGATGGAGCTGGAAGCGCTACATTAATCGCTAGAGATCTCGTGGGCGCGTCAGCAGTTTGCCCTTTTCATTCTTCGGGTCGGTGATCGTGTTCCAGACAGGTACTTCGTGGCGTCTAGATATTGCACGCAGATTGGGCGGCGACGTTGACCCACAGGTATCCCTCAAAGAGCACGAAGAAAGAAGAAAACAGTGCGCAGAATGATGTACATGTGGTCGGCATTAGTTTGGTGATGAGGGAGGCGTTGGTGGGGTCTTGTAGGTATCTAGATGGAAAATCTGCCGCTCTTCACCTGTTTCTCAAGGTACCTTTACGCTGCTGTAGGCTTTCGTGAGTGATGCTTAGGCCTCTAGACGGAACGATCAGCCGTTCTTAATCTGTTGCAAAAATAATATCTATGCATATGCTGTGCCGCCCACCTCCGGGGACAGCGAGGAATCCGCCACCGCGGCAGCCACCACCAGCCTCGCGAGGCACAGCAGGGACTCGAAAAACAGCGCGTCCGCGGTCGTGCGCTCGAAGTTGCTGCAGTACATGATCACGCGCCCGTAGCTCCGCCCGACCTTACCGCGGCGGGCAGTCCACACCAATGATGCATCGAAGAGGGTCACATGCAGCAAAAAAACTGGTCTGCTGTGTGTGGGCTGCTCTCTCTAGTATACGCTTCCTTTTTCCTGACCGCGGTGGCGGCGTATCGCCTTCCGCGGGGCAGTCCACCACCACGACGCGTCGAAGATGGTCACGTACTACACGATAGAATACCTGGTCTATTGCCTTTGGGCTGCTCTCTCTAGGGAAATATTTTCTACTGCGGTAACGGTGAAGCTTGGGACGGGGACCGTCTGTTGGAATATAACTGTAAATAACGTCTTGGTGACGCAGTTGCAGGGCGGTACGAGTGAAAATGGAATATTAACCGATACGTTGAGCAGGGAAAAATAAAGGCATGTGTGTACGGCCGGGCCGCCACTTGCTAACCGCACCTCCCGGAGCAATTTCGCTCGCTCTTGACCTTCGCATTTAATGGTGCGATCCTCCCCCCCGCCACCCGCTCCACTTTGTGGTTGGATCTGTTGCTGCTGTTGTCGTTGTCTCGTAATGCGAATGTCTTTCGCGACTCGTATGAAGTACGCCGACTTTTCACACAACCGTAGGGGGACGGGGGACATCAACGACGGGGGGGGCGCACTCACGAAAACGAATGCCGTAGTCTAGTCGTTAGACCATGGACCCCGTGTTATGGAAATATTGGATCATGTCCTGTACTAGTCAATGTTTAGTAGCATTGCTCTCTATCGTAGATCATGCATCGTAGATACTGTATGTTTCGGTTCATACGTAACGCATCTGTATGCGGATGAATTACTGCTGTAGCAATCTCTGCTCGAGGGATCGCGTGTCTCTCACTCTAGCATGGATCTCTCGCATGGATCTCTCGCATGGACTTCTCTGGATAGTCATCTCTAGGAACTGCCGTCATCTCGCCTTCTGCGTTCTCTGTGGATCTATCATGTTTTGGCCAACTAAGCGCCAGTGTTCAACATATCTTCAAGTCTCTACACATCACAAGAAGTACCCTACTTCTGATCTTCAACCGCTCGCGGTGCCAACCATCTCGAGTACCATCGAGGGGCACAGCCTTGCCTACTTGTCAAGGGTATCTCAGACGATATCCACAACAGGTTATGAGCCTCGAGTGTGAGCGAGTGGAGGCCTGCGGCGACTGCGACT